CTCACCTCTTTCCACAATGATGGCTGTGCCCCAGAGAGCCACCAGACTGCCTCGGGGGTTGTCTCCCTGGGAGACAGTAAGACAGTTCCCATCCACGCACCTCTGACTATTCAGGAGCTTGGGGACCCCCGGGACCCCGGCCTGGCCTGAGGTGGGTCTTCTCCAGCCTGAGCATCCCTTGTCCCCTCTGTGTCCCAGGAAGTGGCAGCTACAGTGCCAGCACCACCTCTAACGTCTCCGGCTCTGGCTCCCCCTCCTCCTCCTCCCCTCGACGTGTGTCTGACGTCCGCAGGTTTTAGCTCACTCCCTTCTGCCTCAGGGACAGCTGGGGCTGCCCTGCAGGACTGAGGGGCACTGCTGAGGCCCAGCCCCCACTCCCGCCCTGGTACCCCTGAGGAGGGGCCCTCCCCTCCCCCTCCCCATTCCACGCTGCCCGCTCTGTGATTTCTCAACTTCTCTTGTAAAAAGAGCAGATAATCCAATAAAGCTTCCTGCCTGCTTGCAAGCGTATTTCTGACTCTGGCTTGGTTTCTGAGGGTAGCCCTGATGTGGGGCTGGGGGTGAGCCGGGTACAGCCGGGCGGGGCAGTTAGTGTGGCACTGCCGGGGACAGGGCTTCTTGCTGGGGAAGGACACTGCCTCGGAGCGGCAGATACTGGGAAATAGTGGTCCCCAGCAAGTGTGGACCAGTGGACCTTACCGGGGACAAAGCAGAGCCCCTGAGCTGCTTCTCCACCCTTTGGGTGCTCAGCATCAGAGACAGCAGTGGGGTGCAGCGGGGCGGGGGGTGGGGGGATGGGACACGACAGAGGCCGCTGCACAGGGTGTGAGGGGCCGCCAAGGGGGACACCATGCCAGCCCCCGTACCTCCCAACTCCTGAGCACTGGCCCCTTCCGGGCTGATGGCTCCCTGTGGTCGAGGGCTCTGTCCCTCTGTCCTCCAGCGCACCCCGAGGTCCTGCCACTCCTGACCACTTGGGGGACCAGCTTGGGACTCACTGAGGGGCCTCAGCCTGCCCGACCCCACGCCCTCTCTCTGAGTCCCGGCCCCCCGGCCTTGCCCACCCCCTGCGCACCAGTGTGACCCCTGGCATCTGCCCTAGATGGCTGACAGTGTCTCCTCACTGCCCACTCACCCCAGGCCATCCTGGATGGCCCCATGGGTCCAATTCCCTGTGTGATGATAGGTCCCGAGCCCGGGTCGCCGGTGAAGCCCCTCAGCGTGCAGCCCCTCGGCTTCCCCACAGCACGCAGGAATCTCCCCCTAAACCCCAAGTCCAGAGACTTCCCTGCCTCCTCCCCACGATGGACGACCTGCAGACCCACACCAAGGTGGCAGCGTCTTGGGCCCTTCTGTCCCTCTGTTCTCTCCGAGTCCTCCCAGGGATGGTGTCCCCATAGCCACGGTGTCCCCTGGGTCTGACTCACTGGCGTCCCTGGCCTCTGCTTCTGGCTGCCTTGCCCACCGACCACACCACACCCCCTGGGTCGATCCCTCAAAGCGCCGCGCCCTCTGTCCTCGCAGTGCCCCGCTCACAGCCCACACTCCTCACTGGCCCAGAGGATGGGGATCTGGCCCTTCCCGCCTCCAACCAGCCCTGCCCCTGCACCAGCCCCCCAGTGCACCCCAACATCCTGCACCCCAAACTGTACAAGGCTGCAGTCTGGGGTCCTTGTTCCATGGATGACCTTGGTCTGATCTGACCTTCCTCCTCCTCTTTCTCTCTGCACCCCCTCTTTGTTTACCAGTTTTTTTTTTTTTCTTTTTTTTTAGTCTTTTTCTGAGACAGTTTAGGCTGGCCTTGTGCTCACTTTGTAGCCCAGGGTGGTCTTGACCTCACAACAATCCTCCTGCCTCAGCCTCCCAAGTGCTGAGATTACAGGTGTGCACCACCACGCCCGGCTTTGTTTACCAGGTTTTTACTGAAGATTCAGAAGCAGGCAGATAGCCCTTCTGACAAAGCAGAGTCTTCTGCTAGTGGAGGGCACATGTGGGTGTCCTCCTGTGTGCACCCCAGCCCCAGCATTGGCAGCACGCCCCAAGGGACGGGGGTGTGACTTCTGCACCTGGGGCCAAGCAACTTGCCGGAGACGGGGCCCAGCCAGCGCTCAGCAGAGGAAGAGCGGGTGGGAGGGGGTGCGGGGACCTGCTGCTCAGGGCTGCCCGGGTTGTCCCTGGGTTTTAGGGCTGGAGGGAGGTGTTCTGTGGTCTCCCCAGGGCCCCGTGAGAAGCAGTGTCTGCTGCCACCAGGCCTGGCTTACCTCCTGGCTCTGCCCCTTCTCCCTTTATGTGCCTGGCACAAAGTAAATGCTCAGCAAATGGCACCTGTGGTCATGACCCCTGCTTCTCTTTCTCTGGGTTAAGGGCCTAGCACGCTTCCACTGCACCACCCTGCTGGTCCCTGCTTCTCTTTCTAACTGGGGACCTTCAGGCGGGGGCAGCTTAGTGCTCAGCCGCACCCTCATGCTCCGGATGCCATAGGCGGGGGTGGGGTGGGGTGGGGAATGAGCAGCGAGCAGGCGTGAGCTCCGGGGAGCGAAAGGTCTCAGCAAGCACCCCGCACCGAGGGCACGGGGAAAGGAGCCCGGCCCCAGGCAGCGAGTGCCTGGTCCTCAAAGCTGAGCGCCCCGGGTCCTGATCCAGGCCTGGCCCCCAGCCGAGGCCCTCGGGGTGGCCCCTGCCTTCTGAGACGGGTGGGGTGCTCCTGGGGTGAGAGGGTGGCTTTTGTGTGGGAGGGTGACGTGGCTGCACCCTTCCTTGGCCTGGTGGGCGCTCGGACCCTTCTCCCCAACCCGAGGGAGGACGCTGAGAAGCTGGGCGCTATCGAAAACCGGATTAAATAACCCCAAGTTATTGCAGGCTGACCGGGCCTGCAGTCTCGCAAGCGAGTGGACGAGGAAGGCTTAGATAAACGCAGACAATGTAATGATTTCAGGGCACCGGGAGGGACTAACTCTCTTACAGCTCCAGTATCCTCTGAGTTAGCCCAGGGCTTCTCTGGGTGGCCCGCATTTATTAGGTTTACAAACAAAGGAGGATACTCAAGAAAAGGCAGGAATCTGGGCAGGACTTTTCCAAGTAACACAGTATGTTAATTTAGGAGAACTGTGTTATCTCCAGGAAGGCCTTCACAGCAGGAGCGAGAGGCCTGCAGCTGCAGTCTCTTTCAAGTGAATGGGGGTTGGAGCCAGAGGCCCTCAGCTGCGGCCTTATCTCGTCTTTAGCGGCGTCACTGTGTCACAGGCCAATGCAGGCCTCAGCGGTGACCAGTGACTCACAGAGGTTCATTGACAATGAATCGGCTGCCTGTCTGCAGGCCAGGTGCCTAAGCTTCGGACAGCTCACGAGTAAACATGACAAGCCAATTGCTTAATATTAAACCCAACTCAGAACCACACTGCAGTGGTCCCCAGCAGGCCCCATCTGAGGGGGGCAGGGCTGTGAGAAGGGGCACCCCGCTCTGACCCAGGAGGCGGGGGAGGCTTTGTGACCAGGACTCCACCTGTCCCCTTCCTCACCATGGGGGGGTGCTGAGGGACGGCAGAGCGATGGACCTGCCGCGGGGTCAGCACCGCCCCTCCCTGGGCTCCCACTGCAACTTCCTTGTGCTGCAGGGCCGAGCAGGCGGCCGCGCCACCGCAGCTGAGTCACCTCTGCATCGGCGGCGCGGGTGCGAGCGAGC